TTTGTCAAATGTAATTTAAGTTGTTCTCTTATTCTTTTCCGTTATATAACTACACAACCGCTTCTTCTTCTCGATTTCTTCTCCTCTTTCAAATTTGCCGACAATAAACTCCAATTTCACCCTCAAGATTTCTTATCTAAATTTTTCAAAAAAAAAGTTCGAGAATTCAGCAAAGCCCCCTTCTGCCATGGCCCACAACCCTCAGAAAAGTTCGAGAATTTCTAAAAACCACGAATGTTATATATAAAGAAGTGTTAAATCTTTGTTTTTTTTCATGAGTAAATTATGATTTTTACTTTTGTTTTTATTTTTTTATTACTTTCTTTTTTATTATATCGTTTTCTGTGTGTAAATGTTCGGGTTAAAACTAGTTTTGTTAAATATAGGGTGTGCTTACATACAATATATTCAAGTCATAGGGATAATGTGTGTTTTCATAATGGGTGTTACAAAGTTGTACATTAATAATTAGAAGTACGAACTCAGTTAATTGGGCAAATTCCATTATAAATATCTAATAAACTAAAAAATTATATTTAAATACAATCAACAAAAATGTATCGCTTTCAGCAGCTATGTGTAAGGTATCAACTTTTGCGTGTAAAAATAAAAGTTAAAATCCTGAAAAGCTAAAATGAATGCAGCATTATTTAAATATTATTTTTTAGTTTTATTTAAATATTTATAATATTATAAAAAATAATAATTTCATAACACATTTTTCAATTTTACTTATCAATATTTTAAAAAATAATCATTATTAAACTAATTCATATAGTTTCAATTTCTTATCAAGGCAATATTAATAAAGATATTTATTATTTTTTTACTGTGTGTATTTAAAATATAAATTGCAAAACAATAATAATAATATATTTATTCACATAACTATATCATAAAATACATTTAGTTGGTTCATATATTTATATCAAAAAAATAAAATTAGTTGGATCTTATAATAATAAGTTAACTAAAAAAAGTAAACCTCAAGTTGTGAATATATTAAGCAAGAACAAAATTCAAGCCTTAAACAGATACAATTTCAGATAATTGAGCCTCATTATGAAATTTCCCCCAATTAATATCCAGGTTTATGACAAATGTTCCCAAAAACTGGATTAATTCTTGTCAGTAATGCACATGTTAATATCTCCACCGCTTATAGGCATGCACACATTGGTGATGTATTTTTTTCAACATATTAACATCACCAATGTGTACATACCACATAAGCAGTGGGCATATTAACATGTGTCCATCGTGGGTGAGGAGCATAACCCTAATTCTTGCGTATGTTAATTGCTGAGAAATACAAATATCAACAACTAGACCGCATGGCAGTCACAAACAAGAGAAATGTTACCGTCTCATATGGAATCATTCCGTCGGAGTTTGTAACCATTAGATCAATTATCCCCGACGGTTACATGATGATCTAACGGTTACAAACCCAAAAAAACGGTTCCGTAACGGGACCGTAGCATCTCCCCACAAACATAATCAAATTCCATAACTTGTGACTCTAAATTAAATGTTGTTTAATTAATTAATTGGATTTCATTTTCTTTTAAAAAGAGATCAGAGTACATCAAAGTTCCATTTTATCCTCAATTTGGTACAACTATTTTGCTCTGAGCTGAATCATTCAATCTCAATGTAATATAATTAATGATTTTTAAGCTTATAAATATAATGGAAAAACAATACATCCTGGTTTCATTTGAATATCATGTTGTGACATGTTCTTTTGCAATCCTCACAGTCGATAGCCGTGTAGTTTCTTGTTCGTTCAAAGTACCAATCGCCAACAGCAATCGCGATCGGCTGTGGATTTTAACCGGAGCTTATAACACACAATTAAATAAACTTGAGACTGAAAAAAAAAATGAAATGTAGGCTTCATTACCTTGTTGTTAATAGTTGGAGAATTTTGGGCAAACCAAGTATCTTGCCTCTCGGATTGGCCGTGAGCAAAGCAAGAATTGATGAATAACCCGTTTTTACTCGAGCGTGTAAACTCCTTTACTGCATCGACCATTTCTGTCCTAAAACCTGCTTCGTAATTTAATGCATGAACAACAACATGCTTAAGCGAAAGCTTGAACATGAACAAGTACAGATTTTTTTTTTTTTTTT